ACACAGGGCCAGCGGGTCTCGCCGAGAGTCCCCCAGAGCGAGCCACGGCGCGGGACCGGCGCGGAGCGGGCACTGGAAGGATGCACGTGGACCAGGGCCTCTCATTTCAACTGAAATTCTGAGTCCAGGGACTGGTGAGTTAGTCTGGAGTTTAAACACCCAGCTACCTTCGGTTTAGGTCTCACCCGCAGAGGAGGGGAAAGAGGCGGCTGGGCACTGGGCGCCCGGGCTGCAGGCAGAGGCTCGGAAGCCGCTCCCACTTCCCAGTCAACCTGGAGCAAGCAAGCGTTTTCGGCTACAGCCGCCAGGATGAGGGCACGCCTGGCCCGTCCTGAGAGGCACCCCACCTGAGCCTTGTCACACACACAGCAGGTGTCAGGACCCGCGGGTTTTGGATGAGGTTTATGTGAAGTCCAAGAACGAATTTGGGCTAACACAGTGGGACGTAAAACTGGATCTGGGGCCGGAGATTTACAGCTCAGTGGTGTGGTGCTGCCACCGGCCTCACAAACACAGGGATCCGACTTCAATCCCCACTATCAAACCAAACAAAACAAACACAGGAATGTGGAATTCCAGCAGTCTGGGAGGCTGAGGCAGGAAGAGCTTAAGTTCAAGACCAGCCTTGAGCTTCCAGCAACTTAGCCAGAATGTCTCAAAAAAATGTAAAAAAGAACGAAAGATGCAGCTCAGGGTTACAGGACAGGCTCAACCCCTGGTACCACAAAAAAATAAACTACCCAGCTGTGACCCTGAATCTGCAGCCTCTTTACACCACTGTCCCTCCCTCTCAAAGATAGTAACTGTCAAACATACCGTTCTCCACCGCCACACATCTGAACGCCAGGTTGAGGCAGGAGGATCACAAATTTGAGCCCCACCTGTAATTAAGTGACCTTGACTGCCTCAGAGCAGAAAAAGGGTCAGAGACGTGGCTCGATGTGAAGGTCCTGGGTCAAACCCCTGGACTTGTCTGCATATTTTGATCCTTTCTTACCTCCTCCTCCACCCTGCTGCCTGAGCTTCCCGCATCCCCAAGCTGGCCCACCTGCTCATGCTCCCAACCACCTGCTTGGCTCAGGCCTCTTTCCTCCAGGCCCCTGGCCCAGATCGTGTCCTGCAGTGCAAAAGTCCCGGGGGCGGGGGGGGGGGTTGCAGCGCCCACACGCTGCACAAGTGCAGAGCCGGGCGCCACAGATGCTGGCTGGGATGGAGTGCTGTTCCTTTCCTCCTTGCCTGCTGGTCGGTGCAGCTGTGCCAGCTCCAGGGACTGGTGACACCACAGGGAGCAGGCTGCGTGGACTTCCCCAAAGCCCATTTCTTTCTTCCTGCGTGCTGGGATGGAGCCAGGGCTTCACAAGTGCTAGGCGAGTGCTCTGAGCTACATCCATTTTCCTCTAAAGCTCTGGACCCAGCCGAGGGTCTCCTGGGTGGCCCAGGTTGACATCAAACACATGATCCTCCCGCCTCAGCCTCCACACAGTGCTGAGATTACAGGTAGGTGCCACCATGTGGCCATCCCATTACCTGACTACCAGACTTCCTTTAATTAGCTCCTTTCCAGAACCAGTCACGTCGCTTTTTACCAAACACATACTGTCCTGGTTCTTGCCCTCTTCCCCTCACTTTTGACAAAACCCCAAGTTTTCCCACAGGCTGCTGCCATTTCCCCAGTCTTCACAACGCCTTTCATCCACTCTATATGACCACGTCTGAGTCTCAGACCTCACCAGGCGACTGTCATGAAGGCAGAGTGCAGCACAGGGAGGGTAAGCGGGGGCAAGGAAGGTCAGGCTCTAGTTGGCTTTAAGAGGCAGAGCCGGGAGGCTGCCTGCAGATGAACGCTTCACTTTTTCATCCCAGTGATGCTTGGAAGCTGGTTTTGTTCCCTACTTAGGCAGCACCTGGAACTGGACTCCAGCACCTTGTACTGAGCCCCATCCCCACTTCTGAGACAGGGTCTAGCCAAGTCGCTGAATTGCTCAGGGTAGGCTCAAACCTGCCATTGTCCTGCTTCGCCCCCCGAGTGCTGGGGCTGATTACATGGTATGATTGGAAGACAGCTTTTGATCAAAAAACAAGTTTCATTTTGAACATATTCCTAGATTTCTAAAATGCCCTATACTCTTAAGAGCATTCAGGTTTCTTTACTGTATCATTAACAAAATCAATGAGACCTCCCAAACTTAAAAGACCCAATCCAGACGTGGGCATCTGAAATGAACAGGCACTTCCCAAAGAATTAACAGCAAATAAACTTTAAACAATTTCAACATCACTGGTCATCAGAGAGATGCCAATGAAAACAACACATAGGGCCAGAGATTTAGCTCAGTGGCTCCACTGCCTGCTTTACAAGCATTTGATCCTCAGTACCAAGAAAAAAATAAAACACACATCCCACCTCACTCCAGAAAGAATAGCTGCTATCAAAAAAATCAACAAATAACAAATGCTGGCGGGGCTGTGGGGAAAAAGAAACTGTTCCACTGTTGGTGGGAGTGCAGCTACTGTGGAAATCAAGTGTGGAGATTCCTCCGAAAACTAGGATGAG